CAGGTGTCGAAAATAACCCTGACCTCACCTACCCCCTGGTGGTTCTCAGTCTTACCCGAGAACCCATCCAACGATCATGGTGCTGGGCATGGAAAGATGCTCTCCGCTCATCTCTATGCCAGTTCAGGCACCATGTAAACAAACTTTTTTTTGTTTGGTGGTGGGTCAGTGACAGTCTGGGGAGGCATATCCATGGAGGGACAAACAGATCTCTACAGACTAGACAATGGCACCCTGACTAATTAGCTATTGAGATGAAATCCTTCAACCCGTCAGACCCTATGCTGGTGCAGTGGGTCAGGGATTCCTCCTGGTGCATGACAATGCCCAGCCTCATGTGGGGAGAGTATGCAGGCAGTTCCTGGAGGATGAAGGAATTTATAACATTGAATGGCCCCCATGCTTGCCTGACTTAAATCCAATAGAACACATCTGAGATATCATGTTTCGATCCATCTGACACCGCCAGGATGAAGCTCAGACTGTCTAGGAGCTCAGCGAAGCTCTGGTACAGATCCGGGAGGAAATACCCCAGGACACCATCCGTCGTCTCTAGGAGCATGCCCCGACATTGTCAGGCATTTGAGCAGTGTATTGTGTTTTGTTTATTCATTAAAGTGCATTTTTTTTTTTTAAATTGCATTTGAAAATTATATAAAATTTTTAAAAACTGTCCATATCGGTTTTTGGCCAAGTGCATCCTGAATTTTCAGTTTCAGCACCAGAACTTTCACTTCAGTGTAGCACTATGTAAACAAATAATGCATTTTGCATGCAGGCCAACTGACTGACCAGCAAATCTATGAAAAGCGTTCACAACTACTTTTATGATCAAATATGTTGGTTAATTTCAGCCTTATAAACCACTGCAACATTAATAAAAATGGTGGACAAAACTACATTCTTGTGGCTTATTTAGAACATTGGTGAAATTCAGCGCTACAAGGGCACAGACAATGGTGCACATTCTGTACACTATCACGTGCATATAGCATGCCTAAAAATAAACTGGCTAACTGCAGATCGCAGCAATATATTAGAGCCTCCAAACAGCCAGTCTTTAAACAGTCACTAATTACTGGTAAATACCTTTTAATAAAAGCCCATAGAATTTGCAATGCTCAGTGAAACCTGCTTAGTGATGAAGAACACATTGACCTTAGTGAAGAATAAACTGACCTTCGTGTATTCCTTTATCAAGAGGAAAACTAATGATCCAGCACATTTCAAGAGTACACATATAGACTATAAGATGAATTAAAGGGTAAGACAAGACCTTTAAATCACACCCCAAGCCACAGGAGTAGTCAATGCTTCAATCGCTAAAATCCAAGACAATCAGAATATGTTCAAGTGAACCAAGAAACACCCAGAAAACAAGACCCTCCCTTGGGGCCTACAGGAAAAATAGGTTACTAGTTCTTGGCCCTCAGTTTGACTTTGTGGCAGGTTTAACAGTACAGGTTCTCCGACATGGAATTGCATGTGAATGCGAACCTTAAAAGGGGACCACAAATATTTCCTTCTGCTTTTAGGCCTCATGCACACTGGCTGTTTACCCAGCTCTTCTGAACACATCACATCAGGTGTTTGAGCATTCATTTAATTGGCCAAACTATTAAGTTATTCTGGACATTGAAATGAACGCTCAAACGCGCCTAGTGCTTAGATGCATTTAAGCATATTCAGCATTTACTGCCAAAATGTTCCTCTCCTGAATGCACAAGTGATGGTAAATTTTTTTCTGCCTTTAATTGCCAAAGTTTGCAAAGACACAAATGTGAAGAGGGGGCTTTAGAGGCAAAAAAGTAGCATTTTTGATGATGCCCAGTATGCATGAGGCCCTAAACTTTGTTAAAGGAAACAGGATCTGAGAGAATATGAAAACTATTTTCCCAATCATTTGTTATACAGGTATGCACAGAGTTCTGAAAACTATCCAGTTGCCAATCCTCACTAGGGCCTAGAGACCCTGAAAATGCAGGGTGCTTGAAAGTGTAGTCTCTATATAAAAAAAAAAATAAAAACACCCCAAAAAACAAAAATACATACTGCCATCTGGACTTGAATATAATCACCCAACCACAAGAGGAGGAAATACTCTGGGACTTCAGGTTTCTATTCTAGCAAGTACAAGCCTTTCCAGATGTACAGACCACAAGCCTGGTCTCATCAGATGCTTTAAACCTAAAAATAGCACGACTTGCTGTTAACAGATTGTTTTCTATTGCATCATTGGTCATTATAGGTATACTAAAGATAAAAGTTTCCACATAGCGCTACAAGAGGACAGCCTGGTATGCAGGAGTTCCGTGACATTGGTAGAGAACAGTCTATATAGTAAAAAATTATGGAGGGAAAAAAAAAGTTCAAGAAAATCACTATTTAGTGGAAATTTATCAGTGAAAACATACATAGGTTGTGACAAAGTCCATTCTCACTCACTTAAAAGAGAAGTTCTCCTTCGGGAACATGTCACACCTGTTTTTAGGGTGTAAGATGTTCCAGCTCCTGCAGCAGTTCAACGAACGGAGCCCTGTGTGGCAGTACAGGGAGAAGATCCCCATTTTACCTGTCACTTTTTGACAAGAGCGTGGCCGAGTAGGACTCCGCTCTTATGGCTGCGCAGAACTCTGAATGAATCAAATACAAGTACCAACAGCCTGCGGTAGTTCATTGATTCTTCCGGGCAGACAGATTACACCAACAGGAGTCCTGCATGGTACCATTGATCGCTGATCACTGGCGCAATGCTTTCTAGGCTGTAAAAAAAAAATAAATAAATATCTATAAATAAATATAAATAAAGTTCAGTTTTTACCTGGCAAAAATGTGCATTTGTTTTTTTTGTTTTCTTTTTAAGAAGCTTAGCCTTTAAAAATTGCATTCAGAACAGAGAACAGTCCAGTGTGAACAAACAGCCAAATACAACTGACATGCAAATTTCACCGAGCAACAAAAGTCTCAATGGGCCAAACCATAGTACCACTGCTACTTGTTATACAAAGGAGAACAGACATTCTTTCTCATCACTTGGCTGATCATCATGCTACAAAGCACTGTGTATAGGAAGTTAAGTTTACAGTTTAAACTCTAGTTTCCAAATTAAAAGGAATAAAATATATCACATCGGTTAATTTGGTATTACCAGGACAGGCAAGTGTTACCTTACCAATTCCTGTCACCATCTTAAAATGTTACTGAACTCATGACTCTGCATTCACTAAATCTGGTCTCTCAGTACACAACATGGAAATGTATATAGCAGTCTCTGGGCGAGCACTGGTTAATCTTATAGGAGTTTTTATTCTCCTCTGACTGTCCTATTAGGCTGCATAACCACTGACCCTCTATCTGGACAGTGCTGACTGGCCCTGTAACCATCACATGCACCCTCCCAAAACAAACTCCAGCCATACACACGAAACTGAGCATGTGCAGAGTGACTCCTAGAGCTCTGTACTATCAGCAGATGGATTGGGGACAGTAGAAGGGGAGGATCATAGAAAACAGGATCAAAGTCTTTTTATACAATGTGGAAAATTAATCCCTTAGGTTCAAGAGTGAGTATAACAAGCATGCTTTACTGCATACACAGACCAATTTTACTGTTGTGGGTTTAGTAACACTAAAGTAAATGAGCAAAAATCTTTTTTTCTAGTTTTCGATAGAGTGGAGCTGAATTAGAACACCTAATTAGGTTTTTTTATTGCAGTCAGTGCCCCCCATTACAGAGATTCACCCTATTTGTCCTGTTTATCACTTCCATTGAAAGTGAAAATAAAGAACACCCCAAATTTTGGGTTGTCCCCAAAAAAGCAACAAAAGGGAAATTTTTTCCTGGGGTCCCCAAGGAATTCCCTTAATTTGTAGGGATTCTCCAATTTCCTGTTTTGGCTATGGACAGGAAGTGAAGGTAAATCTCCCCAATGGGACACAGATTGCCAAAAATAGACACAGGGTTATAACCCTCCCTTACAATATCCAAAATGGAAAAAGTTTTACCTATAGTTCTACTTGAAAGCAAGCATGCACATAACATAGGTGCAGCACTATCTAAACACCTCTACCACAGAGCACAGGCAGAAATACCAGTCCACCAATGTCCTCGGCAGAAATGTACTTCCAACCAGGTGATCAATTTAATAGCAGTACAATATCATTGAAAAATAGAAACCTTGCAAGACACATTATGGCAAAGACCAAGTAACACTGCCTCATAAGACTGAGGACAGAATACCCTGCATGCAGTTCTACAACTGTAAAAATACCAGAGTTTACATGCACACATATATGGGTAGAATTCCCCGAGTGCAAAACATCCGCATTCAGGAATGATAAAGACATGTAAGCAAACACAAATACTGACATTTGCCGGTCTATACCCAATTACTGCACATTCTGTCAATAGTCCTATGGGCTGTAATGTCCCAGTGTCTTAGGACCCAATCCTTAGACACTATGGGCACAGAAGTTGAGGCATACATGCCCTGTCAATACAGGCGTATTTTAGGCTGAATGCTCATACGCCTGTATTTACATCTGAGGGCACGTTAATTGAAGGCAAAAGTGGGCAGGTGTTGCAGACACACCAATACCTAGGGTCTGCCAACTAAAGACCATGCAGCATCTCATGAGGAACTGAACGTAGATCTCCAGCTATTGGTGAAGTTTGAATAGTTTGCTCAGACCAAGCTGGTCCAAACAAACCATCACCTTCACAGATGCAGCGACTGTGATGTATAAACTGCATGTAGCCTCAGCTACATACAGTACACAGCACTGATCAGGCTGTGGGATGGGGATTTCACACAAGATACATAGGTTGACACCTGCCTACGCCACAGGATGTTGTGTGTTCATTTTCAGGGTACTTGCATAGTTACAACCAACCTTATTTATGTATTGCCTTTAACCACTTCCCGACCGGCCGTTGCATATAAAACGGCCGGATGGTGGCACTGCAGGGTCGGGTGGCCGTCTATAAACGGCCTCCCCGCACCCTGGGAGCGCGCAGCACCGCGATCCGGTGCCCGCTGTGTCCTCCGGACACAGTGAAACACCGATCGTCGGACGGGACCTCTGTACGAGGTCCCGATCATGTGATCACTGATTGGCCAATCAGTGATCACATGCAAAGTAGTAAGCAAGATGTCACTTGTGACATCATTGCTTACTACGTGTGAAATCTGAATGATCACAGAGGTCACATGGTACAAGCCTATTCACAACAGGCTTGTACCATGTGACAAGCTGTGACCAATCACAGCTCAGTCAGTACTTCTCAATGAGTGCATGAATGCACACAGAGAGAAAGAGAAATGATTGCTTTTACATCCTATATGGGTGTAAAAGCAATGTGTAAAAAAAAAAAAAAAAAAAATCTTCATCACCCCCCACAAGTAGTACAGTGTCACCATGGTGACACTGTACTGCTAGGGTGACAGTATGTAAAAAAATAAAAAAAATTAAAAATATAAAATAAAATAAAAATGTAAAAAAAAAAAAGTGTTTAAAAATTATAATTTTTGTTATAAACTAAACTAATTTGGATTTTTTTTTTTTACTAAAAAGATAACGGAATAAATTCTGGCAAAGATTTATGATGAAATATTATTTATTTGCAAAATTTTATTAAAAAAAACTTTCAAAATTTTTGGACTTTCATTTACATAGCAAAAAAAATAAAAATCCCAGCGGTGAATAAATACCACCAAAATAAAGCTTTATCCGTTTCAAAAAAATGGTAAAAAATTCATTTGGGTACAGCGTTGCATGACCGCGTAATTGTCATTCAAAGCGTGATAGCGCTGAAAGCTGAAAATTGCCCTGGTCAGGAAGGGGGTAAAAGTGTCCAGTCTTGAAGTGGTTAAAGACAACAAATCCTGGCCTCCTGAGTATAGCACAAACTCTCTCAACCTTTTCAATAAAGAGGAACCCCTGAGATAACATTCCAGTCTCAGGGAACCCCTGCAAAATATTCCTATATCTACAACTCAGGACACATTAGTGTGAATGTCAATGGGAAGAATTACCCCCCCTTTCAGACAGCTAAAAAAGAAATACCTACAGCTGCGTGTATGAATAAGCCCTTAAAGAGGTTATAAAGGCTGAAGGGTTTTTTTAACCTTCATGCATGAACATAAAAACCTTCAGTGTTCAGGTCCCCATGATACTTACCTCAGCCCGACCCAGCAATGTGCATGACCATTGGCTTTCTACCTCCTCATTGGCTGAAACATAGAAGCAGGCAGCCATTGGCTCCCACTGTCAATCACAGCCAGTGCTTAGTAAGCAGGTGTGGGGGTCGAGCAGCACTATCTTATGGACACAGATGCAGCTCGGGAGCGAGCCCACACAAGTGCCCCCAGAGAAAGCAGATTGGAAGAGGAGCCAGAAGAGTTGTCAAGGGACCAAAGAGGAGAATCAGGGCTGCTCTATGCAAAACGGCTGCACAGTGCGGTAAGTATGACATGCTCAGATTTCTCTCTTTTTTTTAACCTTTAGTAACACTTTACCAGACAAAGGATGTTTGGGGCTGTACAGACCACACAGAAAAGCTGAGCAGAACTGTGTTCTATTAAAGTGTCACTAAAGATAAATGTTTTGGAGTGGAGAGGATTAGGCAGTCCCGTCAGGTTTTTTTTGCTGCCTGTGCCCCATTAGGGAGATTCACCCTCTCTATGCATCCTGTTTACAGTCATCACTGAATGCGAAAGAAAATCACAAATTCTGGGTTGACGTTAGAAGGGTAATAGAGTAAATCTTACGATGGAGACACCTTTGTTAGTTTTGGTGATACCCAAGGATTATATCACTTTCTGCCCACTTCCGGTTTTGGATACAGGACAGGAAGCAAAGGGAAACCTCTGCAGTGGGAAACAAATGGAAAACAAAAAAACAACCTGGCAAGTGTTTTAACTCTCCCTTCCTTTATATAAAATGGCCTTAGTGATACCCTTAATTTTAATGTATATCGCACGTACTTTGGGATTAGAAAGGAAAGTTGCACTAGAAATTTGTTATTCTTAACTACCTCCCATCCGGCCCTCGTATATAAACAGCCGGACGGTGGCAGTGCAGGGGCGGGTGGCCATTTATAAACGTCCTCCCCGCCCCCTGCTTGTGCAAGCTCCCTGGGAACGCGCAGCGCCGTGATCCAGTGCCTGCTGTGTCCTCTAGACACAGTGGAACACCGATCGTTGTATGGGACCTCTGTGTGAGGTCCCAATCATGCGATCACCGATTGGCCAATCAGTGATCACATGCAGAGTAGTAAGCAAGATGTCACTTCAGACATCATTGCTTACTACATGTGAAATCTGTGGATGATCACAGAGGTCACATGGTACAAGGCTATTCACAACAGCCTTGTACCATGTGACAAGCTGTGACCAATCACAGCTCAAACAGTATTTCTCAATGGCTGCAAGAATGCAGCCAAAGAGGAGAAATGATTGCTTTTACAGCCTTTATGGGTATAAAAGCAATCAGTGTAAAAAAAAAAAAAAAAAAAAAATCTTCATCACCCCCCACAAGTAGTACAGTTCACCATGGTGATGCTGTACTGCTACGGTGACAGTAAGTAAAAAAAAAAAAATATTGAAATAAAAATGTAAAAAAAAAAAAAAAAAAAAAAAAATTTAAAAAAATTATAATTTGGTTATAAACAAATTTGGGTATTTTTTACTAAAAAGATCACTGACTAAATTTTGGCCAAGATTTATGATGAAATATTTATTTGCAAAATTTTATAAGAAAAACACTTTCAAAATTTTTGGACTTTCATTTATATAGCCAAAAAAATAAAGATCCCAGCGTGAATAAATACCACCAAAATAAAAACGGTCTAAAAAAAAAGCTAAAAAATCCATATGGGTACAGTGTTGCATGACCGCGCAATTGTCATTCAAAATGTGAAAGCACTGAAAGCTGAAAATTGGCCTGGGCAGGAAGGGGGTAAAATTGTCCGGACTTAAAGTGGTTAAAAATAGGTTTGATAATATGGCCAGAGTAGGTCCTTAAATACACAGATCCATAGCTTACTTGTAGCCAACACAAGCATTATGAAACATTCAGAGACCACTCCCTTCAGCAAGTCTGATAGTCATGTGTGTAGAACAACAGGACTGTTATCTACTTAAAACAGACAATCGTCTGTTCTATTTTCCACTTCAATAGACTGCCAGATCTCAGAAAGAATCATTTTCCTTTAAAAAAAGTAAAAAATGCTGCAGTATTGACTGCAGTTTGTGACTTTTTACGTTTTAGACAATAGAAAGCAAGTGGGGAAAAAAGCAAATTGACTATTTGGAGGTTTTCACAGTTCTGTTCAATTACCTCATAGCCATACCAAAATTTGTGGTTACGTGACATGGAGGGCATCAAGTTTTCATATTTCTTTACTGCAGCGTGTATGAGGGCCCAATCCTCTGCTTGGTGTGACTGGACACTTCCCACAGGGTTCAACAGTGGGTCCTGAAGACTACAATATGGTAGGACAATATCGAGGGGTGGAGGTGGACCTAGACTGCAGCGGTGAAACTTCCTCACAGAAGAGGAACCACAAACTGATAAAGAAAAAATTAAAAAAACAAAAACAAAAAAGGGCTTGAACAAGGTGACATTTCCTATGATATAATTTGCATCACTGAAAGCAAGTTTTCCTTCACAAATGGGAAAGGCCACATGCATTTTACAGGTTACAGTTTAATGGCCGAATTTCGACACCCAAAAAAAAAAAACACAAAATGTGGTTAAAGGATAAGTTCGCCATTTATAAAAAAATATAAATGTGTGAGTTAGCGAGCGTACCCTATAAAGCTGCTGATGCACAAAAAAGGAACCACAAAGCCTTTCTAGGAATATAACATAAAAATGGGGTGTGCAGCGCTATACAAATAAAAACACACTGCCATAAATATGACAAAAAGTAGAAAAAGTCCTATAAACTGAATGATAAACAGTCCAAGGTAATATGATATCAGTCCAAAAAGGTATATTCCAGTGATGGAGTATAAATGACTTCAATCCAAATGGGTATATTCCAGCATCCTAACATGAAGGTGTAGAAAAAATTGCCCACTCACCGGAAGTGCAATTTAATGTGCACATAGAAATTCCATGTAAGCCGGAGGTCCCGTGAAGGTACAGCCTGATGATAAAAGGTATCCTCTGGTGGTAAATGGGGTGACTGCTGCCAGAGATGATTGTCTGGACCTATATTCCAAATCCTCCAGCCTGGGTGGACTCCTAAAATGCTGGGCTGAGATGTGGAGGCTCAGTGCCAGGTAATAGAGATGAAACCGCTCATGGTGTAGTATTATGAAATGTATTTATTGGGTATAAATCATTATGATAAACAGTAAACGTACAGGGTGATAGTAACCTATACAAATATAGTGTGAACGAGCTCTTGAATGCACTGACCAGTGGGTACAAATGATGGCCACCGGACTTCCTGATCCGGTGGCGTGACGTCAAGGCGTGCAGAGGCCATCATTTTTATCCACTGGTCAGTGCATTCAAGAGCTCATTCACACTATATTTGTATAGGTTACTATCACCCTGTACGTTTACTGTTTATCATAATGATTTATACCCAATAAATACATTTCATAATACTACACCATGAGCGGTTTCATCTCTATTACCTGGCACTGAGCCTCCACATCTCAGCCCAGCATTTTAGGAGTCCACCCAGGCTGGAGGATTTGGGATATAGGTCCAGACCATCATCTCTGGCAGCCGTCACCCCATTTACCACCAGAGGATACCTTTATCATCAGGCTGTACCTTCATGGGACCTCCGGCTACATGGAATTTCTATGTGCACATTAAATTGCACTTCCGGTGAGTGGGCAATTTTTCTACACCTTCATGTTAGGATGCTGGAATATACCCATTTGGATTGAAGTCATTTATACTCCATCACTGGAATAAACCTTTTTGGACTGATATATTACCTCGGACTGTTTATCATTCAGTTTATAGGACTTTCTACTTTTTGTCATATTTATGACAGTGTGTTTTATTTGTATAGCGCTGCACACCCCATATTAAAAAATAAATGCACTTTTTGCAGGCAAAAAAAATTTGCATTTACTATCTTTTGTTTTGGAAGCCTTGAGAGCATTTCACCAGCAAATCGCTGGTGCCATACAGGACTCCTGCAGACCTGTCAGTGAATCTGTGTGCTCATACCTTGTCCAGGCAATTAACTACCACAACGCTCAACAGCACTGTGGTAGCTCATTGAGAACTATGTAGCTTCCCATTTGCAGAATATTGTGATAGAGTGACAAGGCCAAATGGGGAGAAGACTCCCTGCTGTCACAATGGAGGATCGGGTGCGGGCCTTTCGTAATAGGTTACACCCTGAATATGGATATAACGTGTTACAAAAGGTGAACTTATCCTTTATCAGCCACCTGCACCAATGAATTACAGGAAAGGTATAAGCCAGTACTTTTCCTAAAACAGATTGCCTGGGTTAGGAGATTGTATGCCCATACATTACGTATTCACATTCAGAGCTGCGTACAGCCGCATCCTGAAATTCATTTGTGCACACAACTGTAGACAACACATGTGGCTTTGTGGTATATGGCCCATTACATCTGTGTGCATGAACCCTTAGCACATGGCCTGGAAGAGTAGAAAGCACAGGAAAAGCGACCTTCAAGATGTAAAAAAAAAAAAAAAAAAAAAAAAAAATTCAAAGCAGAACTAAACCCATCAATTTAACAGCTTCAAATAGTTATATTCCCGGCATGCCGGGAACGCCAACTGTAACATTTGCTTTTGCTCTCAACCAAACCGTTAAGCCACCAAATAACCAGTGCCATAACAGATCACATGTACAGCACCGTGGTGGTTGCAGGTCAAACAGAGGCTAAGATGGCAGCTTCCTTGAATGAAAAGGATATGGAGGGTTTAGTTCCGCTTTAAAGAGGAACTATATTACCTTCACTGCACTGATACGGCGTCCAGGAGCTCTCTGCCGGCTGCCGCCCTCTTCAACTGGTCGTCTTTCAGTATAAATAAAATTTTTGCCCAGAGCTGTGCTTTAATGCAGTACAGCCACAATAGCTCTTTATTAAAAAGTATGCCTGTTCACTTTTTTGTCCTGAGTAAAGCTGCACTTTAAGAGGAGATTTGAGGGAGCAAATGAATATTTGAATAAGACCCACACAGTCCAGGCTGTTCTTCAGCAATTTTATTTTTACTTGTTGTTTGAGTTGGGCTGTAAGGAATATAGGAACATATTATTGCAGTAACAGTACAAAAGGATTAAAATGTGTATGAGCCTGTAGACTTTTAGAGCCATCTTGGGTTGGTCTTTTCCCAATTAAGTATACATGAATGGAATCTGAAGCGTCATAATTCAGACTTTGATGCCTATTGCTAGAAAGCCATTTTGTTCTATGAGGACTAAAATAGATTTTTGCAACAGCAGAGCATGCAAGATCTTGCCAGAACCGAGGTAAAAACAGGAAAAAGGGAACACTGTCAGCAAGATTGAGCCTGGATGACATTGTCAGAAAAAAAAAAAATGTAACTGCTAAAAATACAGTAAAAAGTCTAATGATCCAAAGGATTTATAAAGCATTGCTTCCAAGGTACTGTGACATCACGCCTTCTACACTGTTGCCAAGATACCAAGACGCCGTTCCATAAGGCAGGCAGCTAGCAGCACGCACACACTAGTGAATGCTATAAGTCATCATTAGTCATACCTCAGCTCTGAAAGGCAGAAGAGTAAAGATACTGAAAACCAGAGAGACGGGAAGTTAAATGAATGAAGTTTGTAAGAGCAAAAGAACTGTATAAAGACTGTTATACCAAGACAACTTTCAGTGACTGAATAAAAAGCACACAGCTAAAGTATCTCAAATGTCATAAACAAGCTGTGAAACAAATCAAAAGGAACAATATTGGTTTCATCTTCAGTAGTTCTACTTTACCAGCCAGCAAGTTCAAAGGATGACTGTCAAGGAGTACCAGTTAACAGATGTGAAAGTTACATTCTAACTCTACAAGTCTCATTCACGGATCACTCAGCCAATGTCAACCTTCTTTATCTCAGACAAAACCCAAGATGGATGAATAGTAAGTCATTTTTGCATTTTGGTTGAGATCCAAATAAAGCACCACTTCTACGGGCATTTAGCCATACAGTAGTACACTGGAATCACTGCTCCAGAACCGCTCTCCCCAGTACACACCGGCAGCTGAACAATATGCATTTCTTAGGGCTCGTTCACACTTGACTGTTTTACCAACGCTTGCCAAACGCCTCTATAGCGTTTGGCAAGCGTTGGTCCGGCCTTTGCGGAGCCTTTAACGCTCAGCAAACGCTGCATGTGCGGTTTAGCGGCAGCTGCTAGGCGTTTGCCGAGTGTTAAAAACGCCCCACAAACGCCTATAATGAAGTTTGAATGGTGTTACTGCTCCGCAAACGCCCCACAACCGCACACGCCGAACGGGCGTTTGCGGAGCGGCACCATAGACTAGAATAGGAGGCTTCAACGCCTCCTGACTTGACCAGAGGCGTCCATTTTGCCGCGACGCTAACGCTCTCATTAGAACACCATGTGCTGCAATGTGCAGAATTGTCAGAGGAGTTTGGGAAGCGGTAAAAACGCTTCCCAAAACGCCTCTCTGCCGCCTGCACACAACGCTAGTGTGAATGTAGCCTTACTGGTGTGAACAAACCTTTAACAACTGAATTATACACCTGGAACTGGTATGCAGATGAGGTCAGGTTGGGAGATCCAACTTCCCTCTGAGACCCCATTCACATGTGCACATCTTATGAATGAGCGGGTTTCTCATACTTTGCACGTTTACACAGCTTGAATGAGCCAAAGAACCTCCCACGCGTTTTTGGGCATTGAACTTCACACATTTCCAGGCCACGCTTGGGGTGTCATTAACGGCACCGTATGCAGGACTCTAAAACAAGTAAATGCAGCCTAACATCATTACCTGAAGGCTGAGCTTAATAGAACTTTATTCAAAAATGCCCATTTTCTGAAGGTCAATTATCTAATGATCAATGTCAAATTAATGTTAGTATTCAAAAGGAAGAAAATTTGGAAGAGCACGATGGACAATTTTTACATTCAGAAAAAACTGTATGAATGAATCTACTAATTTTAGTAAATCTAAAACATTGAAAAGCTCCTAGGCCAGTTTCAGTAATCTTAGGACACTCAGCATCTGTATTGATCATTGAAATGTTTTGTTTAATGGGCAAGCTGAAGTACCAAATGTACAATTTCCCACTCAATACAGAGCACATGGCAGTGGTAGTAATAGATAAAGCCTACAGAAACCTCTCAACCAAAGGTATGTGGAAGCCTAGGTGCTCATCCAGAGGTTGCCAAGATGTCCATCATTGATGAACCTGATACCCTGTCTGATGGTGCCCAGATAGCCACCGCCCCCTGATGCCCAGATAAACACTGCCCCCGATGTGCCACCTGGTGCCCAGATAAACACTGCCCCCGATGTGCCACCTGGTGCCCAGATAAACACTGCCCCCGATGTGCCACCTAGTGCCCAGATAGCCACTGCCCCCGATGTGCCACCTGGTGCCCAGATAGCCACTGCCCCCTTGATGTGCCACCTGGTGCCCAGTTGGGCACAACCCCAAGACCCCTTGACGGTGCCCAGTTGGGCACAACACCAAGACTCCTTGACGGTGCCCAGTTGGGCACAAACCCCAAGACCCCTTGACGGTGCCCAGTTGGGCACAACCCCAAGACCCCTTGACGGTGCCCAGTTGGGCACAACCCCAAGACCCCTTGACGGTGCCCAGTTAGCCATGACCCTGATCTCTTGCCCGACAGCACCCCCATAGTTGTGGCCCTGAGATCTTGCCTGACAGTAGCCCCAATCCCCCACTGAGAGGGTGCCCAGCTAGCAGTGGCCCCAATTCCCTGCCTGGTGGTACCCATGGCTGTGGCCCTAACACCACCCCTTTCCACTGAGCAGCAGCAGTACATAGAAGCCCTTCTCTCATTGACCACCAATGTGATATATCTAATGTACCATTATGTGTAGCTCTGCTCCCATCCCTGAAGATCTCTTGAAGGGTCACTCCACATTGAACAAAGCTGACCTAATCAATGACTTTCCCACAAGGTGCCCCCCCCCTTTAGCACAGTGGAGCAATGTGTGCCCTGTTTACCCGAGGACAGTCCCCTCAACAAAGCACCGACCACAGACCCGCCTACGTGGACTTCGCTCCCACCTATCCGCAGTGTCCTCCACAGAGCCCAGCTCACCCCATCACACGTGGGTAACACGCCGACCCCCGGCCCTCCCCTCACCCACAGAAGCGGCTGGAAAGAAGCTGAACAAAGAGAAAGGTAGAGAGCCGAAAACACAAGCGGCCCAGGCCCACCGCCCCCTTGGTACTACGCTAGTGGGTGTGTTCTGGACACCGCCCCCTTATTACTATGTAACATCTGCCGGGACTGAGCGTCATAGAATGTGATGGGTTTTCCCTGATGTGTCCTTTCATCATATTAGTAGAGTGGAGTTGAGGACCGAGTGCTGCTGCGTTCTCAATGCTGCATGGCACCGTCAGCCATTGAATGTGTCGGATGTGGCACATACACGGAGATCTCCATACATAATACATCAGTTCCAGGAAGACTGGAGCCGACGGGACCTATTTAAAGTGACTCTGCCATCACCTAAATGAATGATGCAAGGAAGAGAAGACTTCTAAAACTCAGCTAAATCTATTCCAGCTGCATAGAAACAACAGGTGTACAAAGTCCTAGAGGGCTGATTCAGGGATTGCCACTCCTCTGAAAAGCGATCCACACTCAGATCGCTTTTAAAGTGACTCTGCTATCACCTAAAGGAATGGTGCAAGGAAGCGAAGACTTCTAAAACTCAGCTAAATCTATTCCAGCTGCATAGAAACAACAGGCATACAAAGTCCTAGAGGGCTGATTCAGGGATTGCCACTCCTCTGAAAAGCGATCCACACTCAGATCGCTTTTAAAGTGACTCTACCATCACCTAAATGAATGGTGCAAGGAAGAGAAGACTTCTAAAACTCAGCTAAATTTATTCCAGCTGCATAGAAACAACAGGCATACAAAGTCCTAGAAAGCTGATTCAGTTATTGTCACTCCTCTGAAAAGCGATCCACACTCAGATCACCTTTCAGAGACATTTCTCAGGCAGTGAGGAGGCGATATGAATTTAAATCCCCACTACTGCAGCACTGCACTCAGACCCCATAAAACTGGATCAGTCTTGTTTGGTGGCAGCCAGGGCTGTGGATAAGGGGGTACCACCAGTCCTCATGTACGGGGCCCAGGTCAGCAGGAGGGCCCTGGCAGATGGGTGAATCAGATGTAGGCAGGGGGGTAATCAGGACAGCAGGGGGGGCAATTGCTAAAACTGATCCCCTGTATGTCTCTCTCTGTAGCAGTTGATAGCTGGCCTCTTCTCCTCTGGCTTTCAGCTGCTGCAGAGAGAGCCATACAGAGGATCGGTTCCAGTAATTGCATTCCCACCGCACCGATCTCCCTCTCTGTCCACCAAATATTTCCCCTGCTTCCCAGGCCCCCCTGTGTGCCCCCCAGTGCTGCCGCCTTGCCTCCTCTTCTTCCTACTTTCAGCTGCAAGCACTCAATAGGATCCATCAGGATGGAGAGTGAGAGAAGAATCCGGTAAATATGTTGCATTTATCAGCCCCTTCCTTGTTGAATTAACTCAATGAGTGATCGGTAGTGATCATTCACTGTGTTTATTCATAACTGAAGTATAGTACACTGTGGGGGTTTTCTTGGGAGGGGGCTGTCAGGTTGGCTGTATGGGGCCCCGTGGTTTCTAACAGCAGCCCTGGTGGCAGCAACTTGCAGGTAGCATAGAGGTAATATGTCACCTCCAGCAACAACCCACCACACCGCACCAAAACTGCATGCATTACACGCAGTTACAGAACGGCCTCATTCACTTGAATGGGTCATATTTTTGCCTGTCAAAAATGACGGGTGTATATTTTCCTACTTTCCCTGTGTACTAACCAGGGGCGGACTGACCATTTGGTAACTTGGACACTGCCTGAGGGCCCGGGGTCAGTAGGGGGCCCCTTGAGATGCCCCTGGTACCTTTTGCATAGGTTTTTTGAGTTTGGGCAAGGACACAGGGGCCCCATGATCCCCTGTTGCCTGGGGGCCCCATGAGTTGTCAGTCCGCCCCTGTTATATATATATATATATATATACATACACACAACCCCTTTAAAAATGTGTAATTGCAACTCACCACACAAAAAAAAAAAAAAAAACTGTTCAGTTCGGTCAGGTGTGTAATTCTCATATAATGATTACCCACAAAAAAAATAGCTGAATAGAGTATGCAACTACACTCAAATCTTGAAAGAACAGACAATCTATATTACACAATATGACAATCCCAAGAAACAAGCAGCTCCCATTCCCTCAGAAAACAACACAATTAAAATGAGACAATTTTCATCAAATTCCTCCCAGGAGTCACTATACAACTACACATAGCTTTTTTTCTCAAAAAATAGGTGCAGGAACTCCACCCTTCTGAGTCACTTCTTGTCTGCCCATCCTACCTCCAAGCATGTCACTTGGTTCCACCCCCTACCCACCTCCCAGTACCTCTCCTTTTAGAGAATACAGAGTGAAGTATCATTTTGTGATGCTAAATAATTTGTATAGAATTTGTTAACGATAACATAAAAAGCAGAAAAACAGATCCCCCGCAGCCAGTAGCAATAGTCCCCCCAACAGCAGCAATAGATTCCTCCAGCAACAATGGACCCCCAAAACAAATTACCACTCCAGCAACAATAGACCTCCAGCAGCTACAACAGATCTCTCAGCAGCCAGCATCAATAGACTATCCAGCAGCCCGCAACAATAGACCCCTCCCTCAACAGTAGATCCATTCCAACAATAATTGACCCCCATCAACAATAGATCCACCACCAGCAACAACAGACCTCCCCAGCAACAATAGACCATCATACAAAAATAGATACTCTTCAGTGACAATAGATCCCGAAGCATCCAGCAACAATAGATCCTCCAACACACCCCAGCACTCTTTGATTTTTTCATATATTCAGTGCTGCAGCTGCGTTCCCCTGTGTTCCCACTGAAAAAAAAGCCCTGCAACTATAACTATACCCTGAACCACATAAAGTGCATTTAAATAATATCAGCATGCATGCGGATGATTGGCCAAACCCCTCAAATGAGAAGATGCGTATATTATAATAATACAATCATACGATATCCTAAGGTATTACAATGAACAAAGATTTAGGAGAGTATTTATATAAAACAACAAAAAAAATCACATAGCTGTTCATCCATGTAAATTAATTCTGTGCAAATGGGGTAAAATTAATTGTTCTCAGGCTACATTCTCTGCAAATCAATTTTATGGATACAGAAATAACACATTACGGCTACTAGATGGCGCTGAGTAGCATACCTATTTAGGGACCCCCGAAGGGGCTGCTTAAGTTTCTTCACTCCGCCACTCTGCCTCTCAACCTCAAGAACTGTCTCAGCCCCAACTGACACACCTGGCAATAGTGTAAGTGCAAGGACCAATGAAAAGCACACACTTTATAATAAAAAACACAGAGATCAGCTTTACTGTAAGACCTCTATGGGAAGTAAGAAACATTAACAGGTATATGCAGGGGCGGACTGACAACTCATGGGGCCCCCGGCCAATGGGGCCCCTGTGTCCTTGCCCAAACTCAAAAAAGCCTATGAAAAAGGTACCAGGGGCATCTCATGGGGCCCCCTACTGACCCCGGGCCCTCGGGCAGTGCCCGAGTTTCCAAATGGTCAGTCCGCCCCTGGGTATATGTTAGCAGAATCAAGAGAACAGCAAATACTGTGACCGAAAGCAATATAGCTCACTTTTACACTCAGGCTGCTTTCAGGGGATTCCAACCATGAATAACCCCAAGAGCAGAGGCAAACACTTAAATGGCAACCTTAAAGTGGGTCTAAACCCCTTTACATAAATTCAGCTCTATGATGACCAAGCAGGAGGAGAGCAGAAGAAAGACTCTCTGTTGTGTCAGACTTCTCCCTTCTATCCATGACACTACAAGCCCAATAGGCAAACACTGTACCCAACTGAAGCTTAATAGCTACTTTCCAAGGTACAGCTATTCCCTCACACACCATGCAATATAGAGGCCTGAATACGCATGCGCGTGCCGTCAGTCTCTTGGTAACAGGATGAATCTTTGGATCTTCATCTAGCCACTTTTGTTGGTGCACCTAAACTCCTATGGTAAAGTATAATTGTAATCCCGTGGCAGTATTTGTATAGCAAAGCAAATACTGTGTCTGTTTAGCCAGGGCCATCTACACAACCCAGTCCCTGGTGAGTATGGGCAAAGTGTAATGTCTCTGTCTGTGTGCAGTGTTCCTGTCATCTGTAAGTGGGCTAAATCCCTCTCACCAGATCCTGTGACTAAGGCCCAAACGATCGTCCTGGAAATGACAGGCTCCTCTGGTCACCTCACAATGAGCGCTTCCAGGGGCGGACTAACAACTCATGGGGCCCCCGGGCAATAGGGGATCATGGGGCCCCTGTGTCCTTGCCCACACCCAAAAAAGACTATGAAAAAAACAAGGAAAGGTACCAGGGGGATCTCATGGGGCCCCCTACTGACCCCGGGCCCTCGGGTGGTGCCTGAGTGCTCGAATGGTCAGTCCACCCCTGAGCACTTCACTCTGTCAGTGTAGACACTGTATTGTAGGTCCACATCTCTCAGTTTGGATGTTCCCCTGACTGACGCAGATAACTCAGCATGCTGTGAACTGACCCTAAGCACTTCTTTGCTAGGTCCAGACTGTTACCTTGCCACATGCAGACTGCCTCCCCTTAGGAGAAACAAGATGGAGTCCTTCACTCTGCTCTGACTAAGCATGCTGGTCTTTGCAGTTCCATTTCTATAAAAGACTATCAGGCCATGTCTGTTCAGGACTACATGTTCCACAATGCTTTGCAGCTGCACCTCCTGCTTGAGAAAGTCCCTGTCATTGGCTCCTTTAATGGCTCTTCTGATTGGCTCTCTCTCTCTATTACAGTCTGAGAGGAGAAGGGAGGGGCTGAAATCCTGCACTGTGCAAGTGTCAGGGTTCAGAGGAGAATGCAAGTCAGCAGGTTACAGCAGTCACAAATAGGATTCATTTTCACCGCTGCACCTATTTCCTCTGATAGTTAGCACCATCTAGGGGTCATTCTTAGGTAATTTCCACATTCACAAATTCTCTAATAATGTCTGAGAACCTTCGATTGTGTTGCATTTGCACTGCCCAAACTTACATGTAGTTTCAAAGGACAAATAGCTATGCAATTTTTTTTAAATGCACCCCTAAGTAGTGGCCAGCTATAAAATAATCTAGGATATGAATTGAGCATCATGTTCCTTCTCTAACATATCATGCAAAACATTGGTGAATTCAGTAGTCCAGGCTTAATAAGGTGCTTACCGTAGCTATCAGCTATTGTGCATTATTTCCAGCAAATCATCAGGTATTCATATAATAGTCTTCTGCTGTTTGCAGACTATTTGTATAGGTTTGTATAGGTTTTATACCTATAACCAGGGCCGTGGATAAGGGGGTACTACCAGTCCTCCTGTACGGGGTTCAAGCCAGGAGGGGGGCCCAAGCAGCTGGGTGAATCAGATGTGGGTAGGGAGGATAATTGGCACATTTACAAGGCTCTTCCTTTCCTGAATGAAGACAATGACTAATTGGTATTGATCATTCGTTGTGTTCATTCACAACTGGTTTTTTCTTTTATTTGTTTTTTTTTTTTAGGAGGGCCTTTTAGGTTGGTTGTATGGGCCCTGTGATTTCTAACAGCAGCCCTGCCTATAACCATGTGATTGTACTCAGGTAGATGACACCCTAGTGAACTCACACCTACACGTTTTTTTCTGCTCTGAGCTTCATTAGGGTGTATGACCATCCCATGGCAGAACACTTCTACAGACCTGACAATGGTATTTGGGATCTGTAGGTCGCTGTTCTTTTGGGGAATTTTAAGAGGAAGAGGAAAGAATAAGAATATGCAGAAATCTAACACACTATTTAGTGGCCTACAAAAGCCACAGCATGTGGCATTCTAAGTTGTCATTTTTATGTACATTTGATTCCACAGAGATAAAAGGATGAAGTGCCATGACCAAATGCTCTTCTTTCACACCTCTGTTTTATTGTCCAAGCTCATTTGTAAATATATAGATAACAAAGGTGCAGCGCTATTAGAAATAGTGAAATGTCAACATACACTCAATATATAGGAGTATACAAATAGTGATATTAGATCATATTTTTTATCTAAGATAAATTCAATGCTCAATCTAATGTCCAAAAACACGAAAGGATGTGATGTGATGTGCAAATTCTGTCAGGTCTCCTTTGTCAATACGGATAAGTGATCCAAAGGTGAACAGGAAATGAATGAAATGCGCACTCACCAGAAGTGCGTTTAAAATACGCATGAAAGAAGTTTCTCTCTTATCAAGTATATCTAGATCCTCCACACTCAGGTCAAGCTGAGCTTCCTGGTCCTCACTGGTCATCCATCATGGCCAGGTTCCCTGGTTGCTCAGACACTCATGCACCTCTGGAGTCCCTCCTTAAGCTTGGTACTGCGAAAGGGTGGTGCTCATAAAGAGCCCAATAAGGGACATCACATAGCGTGATACTGCATAAAAGTACTTTATTTCCAAAAGTATGGGTAAAGACAAAAATAAAAGTACTGACCGCAATGATTTTTTAATGGCCACCAGCGGTGGCTTAGATGTCCAGATGCTGTAGCCCCCCTATCATTTGTAAATAACTTCCTTGTCCCACTGACCTGCATCATTGTCTGTCCATCTAAATTTCCTTGCTTGTATGAGTTTATTCAACTTGTGTTCTTTGATGTCTACTGTTCTTGTTTATATGTAAGTATGATATTGTAGTTAAGTGTATGAAACTATGCCTGAAAAAGGAAACTAAAGCAGTTTATACTGTACATGGATCAAGATTCAGCCGGTTCAGCAGAGACTAGAAAAATTTTGATCCAAGTGTGGGCAGGGAGGTTTTATAAAAGCTGATCTACCAATCAATATCTGAACAACAGCCCTGTCTGATTTTTCCTACTTAATCAGCTATAGTCTGCATTGCCAATCTAGGTATTCTGAGAGCAGGGAAGTCTCCCTGTCATCAGAATACAATGACTCAGCAGGGAGGATTCCCCATCCACACACTCAATAGGGTAGTCAGTTTTTTCGTTCAACTCGCTGGTTGAACAAAAAAAAAAGACTTGTCTGTGGGCTGCCTTATAAAACATAACATACAATTTCCCTCTTCTTTAAAAAGAAAAAAAAAAAACTGCATATTTACAAAGCCAGCAAAATGCTGTCAAAATCATATGACCATCTCTCCTCCAATCATTGAGCTCCATGGGGACAAAACTCAGAATGTAGACTTCTTGCTTCATCGCTGGGCGCATTATATCAGGGTTATAGCACCAATATTTTTGAAACATTGGGTGTATGGGGATACAGCAGGAGGTTATAGTTAAACTGATGTGAGGGTGTGTACAGATTTTTTTTCATTTGTTTATTTTTTAAGGATGCAGTGAGGTACTATATGAAAAAAAGAAAAAAAGTATAGAAAAAAGTAGCTAAGGTTTTGATAATTAGAGTTAGCAAAAAAGTTGTTGTGGACAGATATTGTTCCTTATTATAATTTTTTGGGTGTAAAGATTTGTGAATACATGCAGGGCAGAGCACATGAGAAAATGCACCCAGAACTGCAATTCAAATAATTCAATCATCATTTGTGAGACTGGATATAATCCCAATCGCTAAAATCTCAGATAAGCTATACCATGCTAACATCATTGGGAAAGTTTTTTCTTTTTAATCACTAGCTTCCAGGAAACTTACAGACAGTGATATTTATATAAAGGTCCTTATCTGGGCTCTTTGTAAGTGTGGTGGCAATTTATATATAAGGTCCTGCGGTGACATCGCTTTGACCTTGTCTCCCACAATCTCCTGCCCATAAATCACCCTGTTACATGAAACTATAAACTGTTGTGCTGATGTACTATATGTTTCTAAGCATGTTCCACTATTGTAGCAATTTAAAAAAAGGCCTGAAAAAAAAAACACGATTGTTGCCAGCACCAATCAGGAAATATGTCCTGTGAAAGAACACATGCTGTCTGTTCTCACTATATTGCATGTGATCAGGAACAAGCTGTAAAGTGGCTGAAGGACCACAGCAGCATTGAGATATAACAAAGGTTAATATACAGATAACCCCTACCCCTTGCAGCTATTTAAGGGTTCTGTTCAGTTAGACACAACTGTGGCTCTCCTGAACCTCAAGCTACCTACCTTCTGCTACCTACATGACATTATTGTTTGCATCTACCTTAACAGACCTGCCAGTGCCTACAAGCTTTGCAATAATTTCTCCCTCTGCAGTTTGCCGGCAGCGCTTCTATCTTGTAACCTCTATCACAGATAAATCACATTGTCAATATGGTTGCTGGGAACCCACCCTTTTATAATAATGGGGCTGGCTTATCCAAAATCCCCCTTACTGGGTCATCTAAGCCCCCTTACTGGGACATATAAGGCAGTTCAAAATCTAAGCAGTGCATTATGGTTACAAACAGATAAGTCTGGCAAATTTCCACATTCATTTGTTGGAACTACAAATTTCGAACCTGCTGGATCGCACATAAAACCCATGGCAGTGGGGAAAACTTTTGTTGACCTTTGTTCAATTTGTAACCTAGAGGGACGATGAGCTGTGTCCACACTATCAGAGAATTAGTGGTGTGTGACTACATGCCACAAAATCTGGAAATATATAAAAAATATCTGAACAGGAAGCGATGGCTGCACACCAATATATCAGTTATAGAAAACTTTAATGAGCCA